CCCAACCCTTTCCTTCTTCATTCTTCAGCACGAACTTAGGAAGGTGCGAAATAAACCACCTCACTAGCAAAGGAGCACAACACCACGGAGTTCCCTGTTTTCGGGCAGTACGAGCATAGAGTTGTTGCAGGATATCACCCAAAAGAGTGGGTACAGGATTCCGAGACTTGAAGATCCTTATGGCATAGATACTGATAAAGGTGTCAGGATTTGGGAACAATACCAGACCATAGATTAAAAGAGCCAGAATGTCTTCGTACGCCTTGAAGTCTAAGTCATTCCAGAAATTATTAGCTTTGCCAACCAGAAATTTGACCAAAAAGCCCTTAACTCCACTTCTAGTTTCCCAGTTAGCCAATACCTCTTCTTTGGTCAAGGGGAGAACTGCAGCAACCTCTTCAGGCCTAGGAGTCTTTTCCTAACCAATGAATGGAGTTTGCTCCAAAACAGGGATACCAAGCAAATTAGAGAATTCTTCCAGGGTAGGGACCAGCTGGAAGTCTTGAAAGGTAAAGCAATGATACAGGGGGTCATAAAACTGGGTCAGGACACTTATCAGTTGTTGGTCCCACTTTGCAGTGATCAAGCCAAGGAGAGAACCATGCATTTTGATGAAGGAAGTAGTGTTTGGAATCCTACCAACCAAGTCCTTGAGCAAAGTTGGTGGTTGAACAAAGTTGATCCGGATAGTATTCCTACGCACGGGCATCATGATGTCCTGTAAAACAGAGCAAAGATGAAACCTTTTGGTCTTTGAAATGGGTTAGTCCTTATACAGGATGCATGCAATGGTATGATGGCATGATACTATGATGAAGCACACCACAAGTATTCACACAGGCAAGCATGATAAGTCACACAAGACAACCCTTAGGTTTCAGGCCAGCATGAAGTTTAGGTATTACCCTCTTTTAGTTTCGTTGGTTAAAACCTGTCCTATCAAAAGTAACCGGGTTCTAGAGGATCTCAAATCATTGACTACCCTCAATCGGTCATAACTCCAGCATCACAATCTTTTCTTGCGGCCAGAACCATCGCGAGAGTTTAGCCTCAATGAGTGTAGCATACTGCTACTGTTCTATGGCCAAGTTTGGTCAATTTAGGGTTCTAAGGTCGGTTGGTGTTTAATGACTCCTTAGAAGACCCATATTCTCCTCGTTACAACCCAAGGGATATCGGTACAGACCAAGGTGCCACACCAACGTAGCCACTGCTTCACCCATGTCGGTCTACGCCGGACAGGTCCCTCACAGATTATGCTACCTAAAAAGGTATTCCCCAGATCCGGGTTAGGATCTATGAAACTCCGATGCAAAGCCCACAAATATAAAAGCAAACAAAGCAAATAATTGAAAACAAAGGTGATCTAAGCCCTAAGGTTACTCCACTTTTAAATTTATTTCCCCAGCAGAGTCGCCAGTTCAGTTCTGTGATACGGTGGGAGAACTGACTATGGTTTTGCGTTTGTTTTCGCAAATGTTTCGGTTGAGCAAGAGTCGCCACCGACTTTTTATTTTATCCTAAGGAAAGGTTAAAAAGCACAGCAAAAACCTTTGAGATGTTTTCTTGGGTTCGGGGAGTAGATTATAGAAAGGGAAGGTATTAGCACCCTTTCTATCCATGGTTATCCATGGGCTCTTAGTTACTTGCTTAGATCAACTTGCCTTAATTTTCAATTGTTTGAAATGGTGCTTTGTGTGTGGGTTTGAAAATGTTTTTGAAAAGAGGCCAATGTGGTGGCAACCTTTGTAATGATCCATGTTGGGATGTATACAAAGGTGTACGTCTTTTGAAAAAGGTTTTCATTTGTTTTTGAAAGTTTGTTTTTGAAAGTGTAGTGATGTGTGGTTTAGAAAATAGGCAAGTGTTTTGTTTTGCAAGTTTAATTCAAGTAACTAAGAGTTTGTCTACTCCTAAATTTCTCAAAGATTTCTACTATGTTTTAACCCTTTTAACAATTTTGTTCCACCATTGCATTTGGTGGACAATCTTGTGTTAGGATGTGAAAGGGACGGGCGCGGGTCATTGTTTAGACCATAATTGCAATGGTGCCAAGTATCTTTGGGCAATGTTTTCTTTAAGGGACTTGATCGTTTTTTAGGCAACTTTCGAAAGCGACATCGAGGGACTATGATCATTTGATTGTTTGTTTTGCCCAAAGAGACCTAACATGCAATATGGCCCATTATTGAAGGCAACAAGTGGAATACCCTAGGGGTGCAAGTGTGATTAGTGTTGTCCATTTTCATGCTTGTTTATCTTGAATTTAGGTCAAACTATTTTTGTTATTTTTGATTCGCATACAAACCCTAATTCTAGCATGGTATAATTAGAAAGCATTAAAGTGCGAAAAATAAAGTTCCTAAGTTATTACAACACAATATATGGGAAGGGGGGTACAAATGTTCAAATGGGGGTATTTTGACAAGGAATTTAAACCTAGACTATTACATCAAATTGGGAATTATACAAATTAATTAATATACAATAATTAAATAAAATAAGAATAAATATGCAAGATGCAAAAATGTTTTTTATATGTATGAAAAAAGGTATTTTTATATGTCAAATAAACAAAATAAAAAGTATCAATTTTTGGATTTTTTATGTATTTAGGGCAAAACCCTAATTTATTAATTAAAAGGTATTAATTGTTTAATATATACAATATTTATTAGTTATGTACAAAAATAAAATAAAAATGAAGTATATTTGTCCAAAAAGGTATTTTTTAATGTTAAATATTAATAAATAAAAAAAAGTATATATCTTGTATTTTTAACCTAAATATACTAATATATATGTAAATATTTATATTATATGATAAATATATTAAACATGTATAAAAATAAAATATTTAATATTTACAAAAAAAAAGTATATTTTCATAAAATATTTTCACAAGATAAAATAAAATAAAATCAGAAAAATAAAATGTATTGGTATTAATTTTAGTATTTTTAAATAATAGTATTTAAGTATTTATTTATGTACAAATATCAATTTAAACAAATAAATACCTAATAAATATAAAAATGGTGTGAAAAATATTTTTTATATTTTTAATATTGTGAGGAAAAATAAATAAATCAGGAATAAAAAACAAAAGTCAAAAAATGATTAAAATAAGCACAATGGGCCAGGGGGGTTCAAAAGTAACAAAAGGGTGCAAAAAGAAAGTCAACTCAGGCCCAGCCCAAGAAGACTTCATCTTCAACCTCAGAACATGTTTGAATAACCATCCACGCGCGTTTTCTATCTCCCAATTCCTGGACTTTCAAGCAAAACTCACAACATGAAAAATGTAGAGCATTAAAAGACGAATCCAGACATATAAAGAACTTGAATTAACTCTCTAAGATGAGAGAGAATTTCTTCTCCCCCAATTCCTGACCTAGTTTTTGTTCCATGTTCAGACATTAAATTCTCACAGCACACATAATATAAATGAAAACTAATTACATGGGCATGTTCAGGGCTATGAATGTGACATATTTTCTTCATAAACCTAAAGCTAACAATGCCTGGATAGAGAGATACGAGTTCATGAACTTACCTGTTCAGTTGGAATCGTATCTGGTGATAAAGGTGCTTTCAATGCAAGGTGATGATTGATACAGCTTCCTTGATGTCCAGAGATGCTATTCCAAGCTTTACTTTGTTTGGAAACCAAGAGAATCGTGCTATGGAACTTCAACTGCAAAACAAGAAAATGAAAATGGTGATGTTGCTTGGGAGTGTTACAGGTCGTGTTTGAGGTTTGGAATAGCTTCAAGGGATATTGTGGGATGTGTTTGAAGTGTTTTTAGCAAGAATGCATGAATGGAATGAGTTATGGAACTCAATCTGCAGCAGGTCCTCTGTTTTGGCAGTTTGAGGGTGATTCTGTGAATGAGAGGGTGTTGGAGATGGTTGGCTCGTGTTCTAGCTCAGGATGGATGTTTAGAATATGTTTTACAAGTTTGCTTAAGTTGGTCTTGGCAGAAATGATAGTTGGTAGGTGTTATGCAAGCTTTCTTCTTACTTAAGCAACAAAAGGCCAAGTTGAGTTTTAGACTGATGCAGGCCCCCAATCTATGCTGCACAACTTAGTCTTGATCAGTGTAATTAGCTCATAAACTTGTGCCAAAGATATTTTCCCTGTACTTGCTTGGATTGCTAATTGACATAAAGTGCAACTTTTCTAAAATGGATATAATGCTTTATCTAAAAATGGCTTAATCTTGCATATAATGTCCAAACTCATAGAACAACACCTTGACACAAAGGATTGGCATTAAATTATGGAGTGTAGATGAGATAAAAGACCTGTAATCTAGCTTAAGGCATGCTGAGTTCAAAAATGCAAGGTTATGGACATGTAACTTGGTCATGAACAAAGTGAGTTTTTTCCAACTTGCCAAATTCGAATCTCCCTAACCATGAGGTTGTTTGATGAGTTCTTGGACATTTTGGAAAGATTGGAATGTTTACTACAATCCATATTTGAAATGCAAATTGAAATTCCAAGTGGAAGTATGTGAAAAATGGTCTTGAAGTTAGGTAAAAACCTTGCCTAAAATAGGTCAAATTTTCTCTAAGTTAAGAATGGTTTGGTACCCTTGTTCCAAAAATTGTAACTTGAGCTACAAGATTCTTTTGGGAAAACTTTGTGAATCAAAGTTGTAGATTTTGTAATAGGCTACAAATTTCATGTTTTGACTTTTTCTTGAATCCAAATTAATCTTGGTGAGAAAGTGGGACAAAGTTAAGAAAAACCGGAAGCTACACAATTATGGATATAGCTAATTTTTGTATTTCTCATAAACTATTTTTATTTTGTTGAAAATAAATCTAAATAGCTATATCATATAAAAAAATTCTCTTTTAAAGCTAGTGATTTTCACCTTTGAAAATCTAAAAATATCCTTTGTTCCTTATCCATTCTATGATACTGAATTTTGATCAAACTCAAGCCATAAATCTTCCAACAACAACCGATAACATCATCGTCATCATCAATGACAACCTTTTCAACTGAATTCTTATCACACACTCTCAATTTCAGAAACCACCCAAACCGCACTTCTCGCCATTCAAATCCCAACACTATCGTCACTTCCTCAACCCCGCGCAACACCAACAACCGAAGAACAAGAATCAACCAAGAACAAATCAGGGTCAATGAAACAATACCAAAACTTGATAGGAGTTATAAACCTGATGTCATAAGAGCTTTCATTAGGTCATTCGAATCAGCTAAGTACGATGAAGCTCTCTACTTTCTTCAGCTCATGGTTGATAGGGGTTATAAACCTGATGTCGTTCTCTGCACTAAATTGATTAAGGGTTTTTTCAATTCTAAGAAAACCCAGAACGCTATTCGGGTCATGCAGATTTTGGAAAAGCACGGCCAGCCTAATGTTTTCGCGTATAATGCACTTTTAAATGGGTACTGTAAAGCTGATAGAGTTGATGCTGCCAATAAGGTGCTTGATAGAATGAAAAAGAGAGGTGTTTTACCTGATGTTGTTACTTATACTATTCTCATTGGGGGTCTTTGTGGGAGGGGTAAACTTGATTCGGCTTTAAGGGTTATGGATCAGTTGTTGAAAGATAATTGTAGGCCAAATGTTATAACTTATACTATTTTGATTAAAGCAACTATTATTGAAGGTGGTATTGATAAGGCTATGAAGCTTTTTGATGAGATGTTGTCGAGAGGGCTTCAACCTGATGTGTTTACTTATAGTATTTTGTTGAAGAATCTTTTGAATGAAGGGAAATGGGAAGCTGGAGAGAGTTTGATGTCTGATATGTTGGATAAAGGTTGTGAGCCGAATTGTGTGACATACAGCATATTGATTAGTTCGCTTTGTCGTGATGGCAAAATCGTCGAGGCTGAGAATGTGTTGAAGGGTATGAAGAAGAGAGGGTTGGCTCCTGATGGTTATTGTTACAATCCACTGATTTCTGCTTTTTGTAAAGAAGGAAAAGTAATTTTGGCCATAGAGTATTTGGATAACATGATATCAGATGGTGGTTTGCCTAGTATTTTTACCTATATCTCGATCTTGGTTTCTCTGTGTAAGAATGGACATGCTGATGAGGCTTTGAACATCTTTGAGAAACTCGGTGAAGTGGGCTGTCCTCCAGATGCAACTTCTTATAATGTATTGTTTGGTGCATTGTGGAGCAGCGGCGATGAAATTAGAGCGTTGGGGATGATTTTGGATATGTTAAGCAAAGGCATTGATCCTAACGATGTTACCTATAATTCACTTATTTCTTACTTGTGCAGAGGTGGATTCATGGATCAGGCAATTGAGTTGTTGGTTGACATGATGGAGAGTCACAAGTATCAGCCTGCTGTTATTAATTACAATGCTGTTATTTCTGGATTGTGCAAGGTACAAAGAATCATAGATGCTATTGAGGTGCTTGCTGCTATGAATCAGAGAGGATGCTTGCCAAATGAAAAAACCTACATATTGTTGATTGAAGGGATTGGTTGTGGAGGATGGCAAAATGACGCGATTGAGTTGGCTAGCTTGCTTGTTAATATGGATGCTTTATCGGAAGATTCATTCAAACGTTTGAATCTAACAGTTCCTGTGTTTGATGCGCAAAAGAGCCTGCAGTATTAGAATGAACCAACTTCATTGGAAACAACAGCTTTTTAAAGTCACCAATTCAAATGAAAAGTGCCAGTACTTTTTATTCTTTTGTTAACCAATGCATTTAGGGCATTTGTTTGCATAACTGCATGATTGTAATTTCAAACATATAGCAGAATTTTAATCCTCTTGGTCACATTTTAACAAATCATTACTATTTTTATCGGTTGTTGGTTCTGGTAAGGTTGAAAATTTTGCTTAAATTCTCCCACTCCTATTAATTACTAGTATTACTGTACCATTAAACGTGTTCCATCTTCCATGTAAGCTGTGTGGCTATTGCTGTCAAATCAGAAAACAATATTACAGTAACAGTAGAAGCAAAAATATTACAGTGACTTTTTTTCAAAAATATTACAGTTCCGTTATCCAACTTTTTTTCACTCTTTTGCTTCAACAACCTTTAAAAAAGTAACAGTAGAAGCAAAAATATTACAGTGACTTTTTTCTTGGTGTGTGGACAAAATTTGGGTGAAGTTTCTTAGGTTCCTGCAGTGATGATAATTTCAGAAAAGAGATGAAGTTGCTAAAAATGTTATACCTATATTAAAGTACTTCGATTCAAAAAAACCATACAATCACCTACAGTATCTAACCCATGTTTTATGACACACATGTGGGCACTCTTAAATTTACTAACTAACGTTACACAACACAGGTTTTAACAGCATCAATTCCTAAAGAAGTGAAGCAAATTGAGTCCTTGCTGAACAACTTCAGCCATAGCCAAAATAATTTGAGTGCTACATTCAACTAATGTTATCCTTATGCATTCAAGAACTGGCACAGTGAATATGTGCAATTACATTGTCAAAACTGTAGGTAAATTATTTCCATCCCTAATATGCACTTCTCGGGGTTAAATCTTATCTTACATTGCCTTGCTTGAGCAAAGACTTCTTTGAGGTGAGCGGCATGGTCGGTGTCTGCTCGGGATTTGACAATCATGTCGTCCATATATACCTCGAGCATGTCCCCGATTTGGTTGTGGAATACTTTGTTCATCGTACGTTGGTATGTTGCTCCTGCATTTTTTAGACCAAAGGGCATTACGTTGTAGTAATAGTTGCCCTAACTGATCATGAAAGCAGTGCAATGCTTGTCGCTTACGGCCATTGGGATTTGGTTATAGCCTGAATAGGCATCCATAAACGACAGTATTTTATAATCGGCCGAGTTGTCGACCAGCATATCTATGTTGGGCAAAGGAAAAGCATCTTTCGGGCATGCCCGATTGAGATCAGTATAATCAACACACATTCACCACTTTCCATTATTTTTCTTGACAAGTACAACATTTGATATCCAGGTGGAATACCGGGCTTCGGAAATAAAATTTGCCTCTAGGAGGTCTTTTACAGCTTTTTCAGCAACCTCCATTTTCTTTGGAGACTGCCTACGCCTACGTTGTACTACTGCCCTAACGGCTGGATCTATGGCGAGACGGTGACAGACGACCTCAGGGTCGAGCCCGGGCATCTCCGTGGCGCTCCACACGAATAGGTCCGCATTCTCGCGCAAGCAGGCTTTTGCTTCCTTGCCAAGTCGGGAAGGACGGTGACAATCTTCACTCCTTTGCTTGTGTCCTCGCCGAGGGGGATGAGTTCAAAGTCCCCGTTCGAAATCGGTCAGAGGGGGACTTGCTCGCCACTAGGAGGCTCATCCTGGTCGAAGCGGGTGTCCAGGGATATTGAGTCGACCTCTGGAGGAGTTTTCTGCTCTTCTACCTTAGCGGGCTTTGTCCTATGATGCTCTGGTCGTGTCATCGCAGCTCTCTTGGCGGGCCTGGTCCCGGTGTCGACCGTATCGCGTCCCTTGGATTCTGCATTGAAACACCTTCGAGCAGCTGCCAGGTCCCCTTGGATGGTGGCGACCCTTGCCCTCTTGGTGTAAAACTTCATCTTCAGGTGGACGGTAGAGGGTACCGCAGTCAGTTCCACCAGTGTCAGCCTTCCCAGAATGTAGTTGTAGAGGGAAGGGCAATCAATGACGAGGAAATGCACCTTAACCTGCCTCGTTGTCGTATCCTCGCCGAACGTGACCATGAGCTCGATGTATCCCCAAGGTTTAGAAGTCGAGCCGTTAAAGCTCTGCAGGTCTGACCCTATGTAAGGTGAGAGGTGTGAGTCGTCGAGCTGCAGGGTACGAAATAGTTGGCTGTACATTACATCGACAGAACTCCCTTCATCGACGAGGACGCGGTGCACATCAAAGTTGGCCATCCTCGCTCTTATCAGTAGAGGAATGACCACGTTGGGGGCCCCTCCGGGGAGCTCTTTGAGATAAAAGGTGATAGGTTCTGACCTACCCTTTACCCTTTCGAAGGTCACCATCTAAGGAGGTGTCGCGCCAACCAATTCGTCCAGCTTCCTCTTGGCTGAATTTATAGTCAGGTCGTTGAATCCTCCACCATTGATGACCATGGCGGATGGAAAGTGCTCCCACCTGTTGTGCGTCGACAGCGGTTCTTGCATGTGTTCGGGGACGTAGAAGTCCCCGGGTCTGGTGACGGAGAAGGCAGTTTGGATGGGTACCGACTCGTTAGATGGCCGGGCATCCTCCTCTGTTTCTCTTGTCTCCCGGGCGTCGCGACGAGGAGCGTCGTTTCGCCGGTACTGGGCGAGTCTTCCCCCTTTTATGAGGGTCTCGATGGCGTCCTTGAGGTGGACACAGTCTTCAGTCAGATGGCCATGGCTCATATGGTACTGACAGTATTTGCTCCTGTCCACCCCGGGCTTGGCAGGAGCTGGTCGGGGGCGCTTGACGCCATCATCTTTGAAATCTGTACTGGCACACTCCGCCAGGATGTGCTCGCGGGAAGCTGTGAGCGGAGTGTACTCTGTGAAGCGCCCTGAGGTTCCCCTCTGTTCTCGGATGTCCCGGGGTTTGTCGTCTTTTCTTTTCTCCCCGGTTCGTCGAGGAGGAAGGGCTTCTTGGCGGGGGTTGCTGCTGGATCCGTGAATCCTGGGGTCACAGGCTCTGTTGGCCGCTTCCCTTTCCTCGTAGTCCATGTAGGCCCTGGCCTTCTCGAGGAGGGCGTCAAACGTTCGGGGTGGTTCGGTGCCCACTGCTTTCCTAAATTCTGTGCCGGGGAGGAGGCCCCTCTCCAGCAGGTATCTCTTCATGTGGTCCGCGCAGGGGACCTGGATGGCTTCGTGGTTGAAGCGGTTGATGAATTCTCTCAAGGTCTCATCCTACCTCTGGATGATGGCCTCGAGCGCCACTTCGGTCTTTGGATGTCTCCGTGACGCAATGAACGAGCTTATGAATTGGTTTTTCAAGTTTCGTCACGAGGTGATCGACCCCGGGGCGAGACCCTTGTACCAATCCATTGCCGCTTTTCTGAGGGTCGTGGGGAACAACCGACATTTGATCGGTCCCTCGACGTTATGGTAGTGTAGCATAGCTTCGAACCCGTCTATGTGATCGACCGGGTCGGCGACTCCATCATATTCTTTCAGGTGTGGAGGCTTCTCCATGCCCGGGGGAATGGGCGCCTCCATAATAGCTTGTGATAGGGGACCGCGGGGGTCTTCCTCATCACTTCGCTCCGGGGAGAGGGACGGGGACCTGATATATTGTCAGTCACGATAGCCCTGTCGTGCTGGACGTTCCTCGGGCGATGTGTCCGTTGGTATGTTCCTCCGTGTCTGTCTTCGGGATGCCTTCGTTCTTGCCGTGAAGGGACGTGGTCGTGCCTTCCGGCTTCGATGATTGGTTCTCTCTCCAAGGCGGGTCGCCGCCCTGGTGGTCGGGGCGACGGGCTTCGAGAGATGCCCCGGTCTTGTCTCCGCGGGGGAGATCGGGGACGTTCCTCCATTCTTCGGGGAGGTGGTGATTGAGGCCTCCCGTATCTCCTCGGGGGCCTTCGGTCCCCCTCTAGTGCTCTCAGTCTCTCCCCTTGGGCAAAGATGAGGTAGTTGGTCTGGTTGATGGCCGCGAACAGTGCCCTGGTCGTGGCGTCTGCTCCGGCGGGGACAAGAACTTCATGGAATTGAGCGGCTAGATGGTTCGGGGGAACCAAATTGTCTTCTTTGAGGCGAAGAAAGACTGATGAAGACGAAGTCGTGGCTCCATCCCGGTAGTTAGAGGGCCCGGAGATGGTGCCTCCGGGGAGTGTATTATGGTCGGGGCCACCATTTTTGTCGGCGAGGTTGTTGTTAGCATCTACGACGCGAACGTTCTAGTTATCCTGAACCTGGTCAGATGGAGGTCGAGGATGGTTTTAGCTTTTGTCTTCGTGAATTTGTAAGACGGGGAAGCTTAGATTCCCATAGACGGCGCCACTGATCTTACCTGATCAGAATTGGACCACCAAAGCTGGTTCGAACAGGATCTGAGAGATGGGGGGGTACCTGCAAGACACTCCGATGATAAAGTAAGCGACGGAATGAGCAGGCAAATTATGTATAGGTGTTTTTTAGAATGAATAGCTGACCCTCTTGGAACAGAGGATATTTATAGCCCCCAACGTTGGGCCAATGTCCCTTTATTGGGCTGACTAAAACTGACCCAACAAAGGGACTGTCAGGTTCTACGTGAGTAGTGAGGACCTGCACGTGGTCCCCTTTCTAGATGATGCTCCGCGAAGAACAAGGGAGAACGAAGACGCGATCTTCCCAGAACTCTAAAGACTCCGAAGTATCCGGAAGGACTGAGTCTGCCCTACAGGGAGGATGCTCGAGCAGGGCTCGAGTTGATATGTCCGTGTCGGGGACGCTTCTCATTGCGGGCAGCGGCAGACATAGTCGTAACGGCCTGCGACTGGGTATGCTCGAGAAGTCTGATTCCTAGCATAACTTGAGACACAGTTTGGATCTGGGTCTTACTTGTGATTTGGACCAAGGGCAGACCCAATCCACAACACTACGTAACATTGTTCATATTTGTTTCTATATTTTTGGTACATTTGTGATTTTTAAGTTTGACATGTTTTCCAAATTACGTTTTAATTTTAAGAATTGATTTTTTACAATACACTTTGTATTGTTAGTCTTTTTAACAAGTTCTGTTAAAAAAATGTGACATTTAATATATTAAAATAATTGACATAGACATGTTGGATACGTCATTTTTATATTTAAAAGTTAAATGAATATTCACAAATATTAAAATCTTAGGATATAGTATTTAATTTATTGTCCAGCAATGCTTTCATCCAGAAGTAAATTGTTTAAATTTATGAATTTAAAATAAGAAATCGTTTTTCTTTAATGTGAGGTGTGATAATCTCTAGCAGTAGAACAAAAGTTGTGGTTTATACCATTCTTAAATGTGACATAAAAGATAATAATGTAAGATGAATATAATTTAAAAGTTAACTTCACAAGTAAATGTAACATAATCATTTTGAAGAAAATAAAATTTAAAGGACGAATCTGAAATAAAAGTAAAATATAAAGAATCACAAATGCAATTTTATTTATATTCTAAGCATGAAAAAGTATCATTATGATAAATAGTTTCTTTTAATGATATTTAGTTTTTAGAAAACAATTTTGAAGAAAAAAAGAAATATTTAGTAATTTTATTTTTAAAATTATATAATATTATAAATTTGTTATTAATGAAAAGTGTACTATTTTTATTTGTTTTTTCTTTCTTTTTTATTAATTTCTAAAACTAAAACTAAAACTAAAAACTAAGAGTTTCTTTTGACTTTTTAAAACTATTTTTTATGTTATTAATGAAAAGTGTACTATTTTTATTTGTTTTTTCTTTCTTTTTTATTAATTTCTAAAACTAAAACTAAAACTAAAAACTAAGAGTTTCTTTTGACTTTTTAAAACTATTTTTTAAATGAATTTTAAAAAAAAACTAAAATATGCTTGATAAACTTACTTTAAAAATTATTTTAAGTTTCACAATATACAAATTTGCCATTAAAAAATGTATAATTTTTTAATATATTTTTTTCAATTCCAAAATTAAAAATAAAAAAATAAAAAATCTATTTTAGTTTTTTAGTTTTTAAAACTCTTAAATAGACAATAATTATCAAAAATAATTTTGTAAAATTAAATAACTAAATTTTCAAAATTTAAAAACTAAAAACAATATTACAAAATCAAATCAAAGAATTCCTAAAATTTCTAAAATCTAATTTAATTTTTTAATTTTTAAAACTCTTAAATAGAAAATAATTTTTTAAGTGCAAATTATAGTTATTTTTGTATATACTTTTTGTTGCACTTGTCGATTCCTCGTTGTTAATATTAGTTTAATAACCCAATTGTATGTGTAAATATGTTTAGTTTGTCTATAATATGTTTTCATGTATAAAGTATATCATTTGATAGTTTTATATTCATTTTGTAGGTATTTGAGCATTGTTGAGCAAGAGGAATAAAGCTCAAAGATTCATTTTTGGATCGATAAAGGAAGAAGGCCAAGATTGGAGGCTAGATGAAGTTATGCAGTAGAAGTAACAAAAGTTGTTGAATTGTCATGCGTCACCGGACGAAGTTCCAGTCGTTGGGCGACAATGGGCGAGAAGAGCCAATTTTGATGTTGCCTCTACCTTGCTTCGCGTCTAGGTCGTCAGGCGAAAATAAAGAGAGTCGTCGGGCGAAACAGTGTGTCACGGGACGACATTAGATATTTGTTTCAGTTGAGGACGTGGCGCAGTCTGGGCCAAGTATATAGAAGCCATCATCAGACGATGTATTTGTGTCGTCGGGCGACGCATGCGGAACAAAATTTCCTTATATTTTCCTTTTCGTTTCATTTTGAGGGGATTGTTTTGGGGTGATTTTAGTTCTCCCAACTTCGTCAACCTCATTTTTATAATGGATTAACTTAGTTAACAACGTTAGGACTTTGCTTATGAATGATTGAAGGTGGATTTCTCATTAATCAGAGCTAACAAACTGGAAGATACACAATTATGGATATAGCTAATTTTTGTATTTCTCGTAAACTATTGAAAATAAATTTATATACTTAATCTATAACAAGAAAAGCTTAATAAAGGTGTAAATAGCCGTATCATATAAAAAATTTCTCTTTAAAGCTAGTGATTTCACCTTTCAAAATCCAAAAATATCCTTTGTCCCTTATCCATTCTATGATACTGAATTTTGATCAAACTCAAGCCATAAATCTTCCAACAACAACCGATAACATCATCGTCATCATCAATGACAACCTTTTCAACTGAATTCTTATCACACACTCTCAATTTCAGAAACCACCCAAACCGCACTTCTCGCCATTCAAATCCCAACACTATCGTCACTTCCTCAACCCCGCGCAACACCAACAACCGAAGAACAAGAATCAACCAAGAACAAATCAGGGTCAATGAAACAATACCAAAACTTGATAGGAGTTATAAACCTGATGTCATAAGAGCTTTCATTAGGTCATTCGAATCAGCTAAGTACGATGAAGCTCTCTACTTTCTTCAGCTCATGGTTGATAGGGGTTATAAACCTGATGTCGTTCTCTGCACTAAATTGATTAAGGGTTTTTTCAATTCTAAGAAAACCCAGAACGCTATTCGGGTCATGCAGATTTTGGAAAAGCACGGCCAGCCTAATGTTTTCGCGTATAATGCACTTTTAAATGGGTACTGTAAAGCTGATAGAGTTGATGCTGCCAATAAGGTGCTTGATAGAATGAAAAAGAGAGGTGTTTTACCTGATGTTGTTACTTATACTATTCTCATTGGGGGTCTTTGTGGGAGGGGTAAACTTGATTCGGCTTTAAGGGTTATGGATCAGTTGTTGAAAGATAATTGTAGGCCAGATGTTATAACTTATACTATTTTGATTAAAGCAACTATTATTGAAGGTGATATTGATAAGGCTATGAAGCTTTTGGATGAGATGTTGTCGAGAGGGCTTCAACCTGATGTGTTTACTTATAGTATTCTGTTGAAGAATCTTTTGAATGAAGGGAAATGGGAAGCTGGAGAGAGTTTGATGTCTGATATGTTGGATAAAGGTTGTGAGCCGAATTGTGTGACATACAGCATATTGATTAGTTCGCTTTGTCGTGATGGCAAAATAGTCGAGGCTGAGAATGTGTTGAAGGGTATGAAGAAGAGAGGGTTGGCTCCTGATGCTTATTGTTACAATCCATTGATTTCTGCTTTTTGTAAAGAAGGAAAAGTAATTTTGGCTATAGAGTATTTGGATAACATGATATCAGATGGTGGTTTGCCTAGTATTGTTACCTATAGCTCGATCTTGGCTTCTCTGTGTAAGAATGGACATGCTGATGAGGCTTTGAACATCTTTGAGAAACTCGGTGAAGTGGGCTGTCCTCCAGATGCAACTTCTTATAATGTATTGTTTGGTGTATTGTGGAGCAGCGGCGATGAAATTAGAGCGTTGGGGATGATTTTGGATATGTTAAGCAAAGGCATTGATCCTGACGAGGTTACCTATAGTTCACTTATTTCTTACTTGTGCAGAGATGGATTCATGGATCAGGCAATTGAGTTGTTGGTTGACATGATGGAGAGTCACAAGTATCACCCTGCTGTTATTAATTACAATGCTGTTATTTATGGATTGTGCAAGGTACAAAGAATCATAGATGCTATTGAGGTGCTTGCTGCTATGAATCAGAGAGGATGCTTGCCAAATGAAAAAACCTACATATTGTTGATTGAAGGGATTGGTTGTGGAGGATGGCAAAATGACGCGATTGAGTTGGCTAGCTTGCTTGTTAATATGGATGCTTTATCGGAAGATTCATTCAAACGTTTGAATCTAACAGTTCCCGTGTTTGATGCGCAAAAGAGCCTGCAGTATTAGAATGAACCAACTTCATGGGCATAAAATTGACTTATACAGGTCTTCTCAATTAAGATTTTTTGTTCAATTCAATTAATGGATACCAACTTATTGCTTGCTACCAATTTGTTTGTTGTTTAAAGGTTTTTGAAGTTCACACCAATATCAAATGAATGGTTGGTTGTTTCTGACAAACATGTTACAATCGAATACACGTTGTTTAAACTTTGGAGAGTTTGTATTTTATTACGGTCAACACTCCGGTACCCTGAGATATTGCTTTTTATTATTACATGATGACTAGGAAAAGTTGTGGAAATTTGTACACCATAGAAATGATATATCATTGATTTTGTGAAAAAAAAAGGTGTAATTAGTGTCAAAATCCTTTAACTTAATTTCATGTTTCACTTTAGTCTTTTATTTAATAAAGGTTACATTTTAGTCCCTTAAAAACCATTATGTTAGTCAAGTCCGTTCTTTTTGTTAAATTTTGTGAAAAAACTTTAAGTTGTGCAATTGTGGCATGACAACATGGTAAAAGTCAACAATTTAATAAAGGGGCTAAATTGAAACCTTATAGATAGTTATTCTATAAGGACCACATTGAAACTTTTTCATATCAACAGAATCTTGAATATAATTGTATTAAGCCAGAATCATTTTACATTACTTATTCGAACCAATCAAGATAAATTTATTTTCAACAAAATAAAAATAGTTTATGAGAAATACAAAAATTAGCTATATCCATAATTGTGTATCCTCTGGATAATTTTTTAATGCTTTGTGTGCATGATGAGCACTAATCTCATGATCAGTCACAACCATTAGAGTGTGCCAATGGCCCGAGTATCTTCTTGATATACCCTTCCGTTTTAGTGTTGTCTTACTAACAGCTTGAAGCTTATTTTGCTATAACACAGTGAAACATGTGAAATTTTCTGGTTGCATAGGTTGAAATGCTGCAGAAAGGACTAAAGGAGTTTGGAATTTTGAAAGGTTTTGGAAGCAGTTCCTACCATACGCTGAACCCAACTTCTATAGGTAGTTCGTTCATCCATGTTTTAGCTGGCAAAGCTTGCAGATTTCTTTCATATGATGATAGCTAATAGAGAGCAGAGATATCTATTCAGTCATGTTTTATTGATCCAGGTCACTATCTAGGAATGGACATTCACGATTGTTCAATGATCAACTACGATTGTCCTCTGAAGCCAGGTGTTGTAAGTGTTTTCTTTTACTGAGCAACGGTTTAATATCACTTGTCAGATGTGGGTGTGAGGATTTTTGTTCCCATGAAATCATTATATGGTAATGATAGGTTTTGTTATATATGGTTTTTGGTCAACTGAGTGACATCGTAGTGTCATTTTAAAGTAAACAACACATTTTCCGGTGTTTCTAAATGCTGTTTTCACCTAAGGTACTTGTAATTTATGTCTACTCTAGTTTTTAAGTCATATTTATTCCTTAAAGTATGCATTCAGTAGTTTGTCACTATTTTTTATTCTAAGTTAAGCAGCATCAACAACAACAACCAAGCTTACCTCACTAAATAGGGTTGGTTACATGGATCAACTTCCGTCAAAATTATAACCTTCATTCCGAAATTTCCTCTAAGATGTAGTGCGAAGATGTCAACTTATACTTCTCTTTCAATAAGACAACCTAATTGGAATTTTTTACCCCCACTTGCCATTCAAATATGCTTTTCCACTTCATATGGACATAATGTATACCCATATTAACTAACGGTATGTTCTTTTTATAATTTGTGAGCAGGTAATAACTATTGAACCGGGAGTGTACATCCCATCTTCTTTTAATTGCCCAGAGAGGTACTTGTACTTAATGAAGTTTGTTGAAGAACTTGTTTTAACAAATTTATTATTACAAATTGATAATTTCATTTGCTTGTCCCTACTTTACATTTTCCTGGGTTACCAACTATTTCTACAATACATTCAAATTCTTGAGTTTCCTTTCATTAACCAGCTTCAGAAATTTTAACATTTCATTTTCCCCAGAATCTGATTGTGTTCACCAGTATGTTAAAACCTGACTTGGATAAACCTGATTGCTTCTTATTTTTAAGAATGTTAAGAAAATTAGGTAGTGTATTAAATTTGTCCACTTTGTGTATTGATGTTCTAAAATTGCCCTTTAACCAAGTTTAGTTGAACAATGACACCAAAAGGTAGTAGTAAATTAATTAGAGATACTTTTGTAAAATAATAATTAATGCATCTAATAATTTGGAAAGGAGCTTATTATTTGGGATTTTTTTTTTCTTTTCTTTTCAAGAAGGCCTTATATTTAACGGCTGAGGTAGTATTTTTTTTTTCCATCCATTACATTTTTACTCTGCATATTTTCTAAAAATGGTAAAAATATCATGTCCTACTCTTAGCAGTGCCCGCATCATCATGACCTACCACTTCTTTCATTTCCTAAAAATGGTAAAAGTACCATTTCCACTAAACCAGTTCCATCCCCAGGAGTTGGTTTGTCATAAAAATTATATTGTTCTACACCTGTTTTCTTTGATGGACCATATAAAGGAGTATAATGGAATAGTCATTTAATCATGTTAAACATGCTTATGAAAATGACTCTTCTATTCCATTCTCATTCACTTTCTTATTAAAATCATTCCATTGATTTGAACCTGCTGGGACCTGAAGTTCTACAGCAGTATTTCTCACAAGTTTAATTAATCCATCAAGAGATGTGTATGCCGTTTTAGATCTTGAATTTTAAATTTATTTGGGAGTTAATAATGTTTTTTTAAAGTTAATTGGTTTCAGTTGCAGAACAAGTTTTACACTTGATTGAGCTTAACATAATATGAAGTTTAGTTTTTCTCATCTGTATTCTACTACTTGTTTTGCCTTTTTAGTCATTCATCCTCCTCAACTTCCGTTACATCACTGATTGAGCCCATTCTTTCTCATATCATTTGGTTACTAGCACCATATGAGCATTTAAGTTGATCTTCAATGTTGGCATTAAATGTTTCAGTTTTGTATGTGATATGTCCAATGCAGGTACCGAGGCATTGGGATATGGATTGAGGATGATGTTCTCATTACAGAAACAGGCTACGAGGTAGTAATTTCTATCTCTAAACGTATTGCAATATTGAAACTACTATAGTGTAGTATTTGTGACAGTACACTTCTTTTAAAGCCTGAAACAAAGAACAATGGAATTGGTCTTTTCATTTTATTGTGTTGATTTATTTATCTATTTATAAACTAGTAATTTTTATAGGGCCCCATCTATTTAGTAGTAATAAAGAAAGACATAGACAAAAAAGTCCAATGAACTGTTGCATTCAAAATTTTAATGTAGAGTGAACGACTCTTCACTCAGCATCAGCTACACTTTATGGTTTCATCTAGATTTTAGGTTTAAACCTAGTAAGCTTGAGTCTTTTTTAATTAGAAATTATTCATTGGAAACAACAGCTTTTAAAGTCACCAATTCAAATGAAAAGTGCCAGTACTTTTTATTCTTTTGTTAACCAATGCATTTAGGGCATTTGTTTGCATAACTGCATGATTGTAATTTCAAACATATAGCAGAATTTTAATCCTCTTGGTCACATTTTAACAAATCATTACTATTTTTATCGGTTGTTGGTTCTGGTAAGGTTGAAAATTTTGCTTAAATTCTCCCACTCCTATTAATTACTAGTATTACTGTACCATTAAACGTGTTCCATCTTCCATGTAAGCTGTGTGGCTATTGCTGTCAAATCAGAAAACAATATTACAGTAACAGTAGAAGCAAAAATATTACAGTGACTTTTTTTCAACTTTTTTTCGAAAATATTACAGTTCCGTTATCCAACTTTTTTTCACTCTATTGCTTCAACGACCTTTAAAAAAGTAACAGTAGAAGCAGAAATATTACAGTGACTTTTTTCTTGGTGTGTGGACAAAATTTGGGTGAAGTTTGTTAGGTTCCTGCAGTGATGATAATTTCAGAAAAGAGATGAAGTTGCTAAAAATGTTATACCTATATTAAAGTACTTCGATTCAAAAAAACATACAATCACCTACAGTACCTAACCCATGTTTTATGACACACATGTGGGCACTCTTAAATTTACTAACTAACATTACACAACACAGGTTTTAACAGCATCAATTCCTAAAGAAGTGAAGCAAATTGAGTCCTTGCTGAACAACTTCAGCCATAGCCAAAATAATTTGAGAGCTACATTCAACTAATGTTGTCCTTTTATGCATTCAAGAACTGGCACCGTGAATATGTGCAATTACATTGTCAAAACTGTAGGTAAATTATTTCCATCCCTTATTTTTTGCCCCCTCCATATTCACTTTTAGCTCAGCAAAATCTTGGTGGGGAGGGTGACAAGAGAATTAAGAGAGAAGGTGAGGTAGGGTTTCCTTACTTATTTTGTGGACTGAGAGTAGTAGGTTTCTACGACTGATTGTTGCATATTTTCTGTCTGGTTTTGTTGTTGTAAATGATTAATGATAATGGCCAGCTCAGTATAAAATTTTCACATCAGTTGGAAATCATAATAATCTTTTAGACAGCTTTTCGAGGATGAAATAAGTTTAATTTTTATATACTCGTAAAAAATGTTATATTTCTTGGTTGTCTTGTTTATTTGTTTTTTCTTGTTTCATTACTCACCTGCATTCTTTCTCTTCCTACCAAATAAAAAGGTGGGGAATTAATGAGGAAAACTGAAATGCTAACTAGTGCCTAGAGATCATGAAAATATGTCATACCAACTATTACGGAGATACGACTTAGCAGACTTAGCATACACAAGTCAATGGCAAATTACTTTCTTTTTTTTTTAAGTAGAAAAGACTTAGATTTTTTTAAAGCCTATTTAGTTAAATAGATTAGGTTATAGGTTATGAAAAAACTTTTTAAATTTATTAGATCGACTTATTTTAATGAATACAAATAAATTTGTTATTTTTTATATTGTATTTTATACTTTATATTAAAATATAAAAAATAAAGTTTAGTTATCTGGAAAAAAAATAATAAGTTTATTTATTTTCATAAGTTCTTTTAAATAAATAATCTCAAAAAAGTTGTGTTATTATGTAAATTTAAATAAGTCAATATAAATAAATATTTAGTCTTATTGTATTTTTGATTATCTATTATATTTAAACATTATTTGAATGACTTATTTACATATATTCAAATGATATAGGTTTTTAAGCAGACTAATAGGTTAATTATGTCTTCGAAAATGTCAAACTCAGACAAAAAAATAAGTCTATGATAAGTCATAGGTCAAACTTAGATTTGAAATTTTTAACAGATTAATTTTAAGTTTGACAAAACCTAACTCGGTCCAGCCTTAGAATATTCCAAGAGCATTCTTTATGGACTTAAAAATGTAATTATTTTTTGAAAATGTGTGTATTTAATACATTGAAAATTTTAATTTTTATAAAAAAAATAATTATTTTATTTGAAAATCTTAAAGAGTACTTCGAAAGTACACGTTAGCATGACTTTAAAAGGAAAAAGTGTCAAGAGAGATTTTAATTTGACACTCCATTTTTTTTTTAATTTTTAAAATGTCTCTTACTATTTATCTCTAAATTTTTTATATTTGTTAAATTTTTTTTACTATTGATCAAAGAAAAACAAAATTTATGGTACCAAAATTAGGTATTATCAATTTATTTATTTTTGTATTTTTAAAATTTTTGCGACAATTTATTGAAAATTTCAAATTTTTGGGTCGATTTTAAAATTTTTTCCATAACATATTTCGAAAATTTCTGGTAATCAGTAAAATATCGGAAATTTGAAAATTTTGAAATAACGGAAATTTCGCAGATACTTGAAATTTCTGGTATGTCTGCGGATAGAGAATAATTTTTCAAATAATTTTGTAAATATAATAGAATGTTACATAAAAGAGGATGAAACAACATCGTCGAGAAGAAGGCGCGAAACGTCAAGGAGTGTGTTTCCAACTCCAAAGATTCACACCACTATAAGAAGAGTAATTATACCTTTCTCATCAAAGAGAAGACAGTGCTTAAGAGAGTAGGCAAGACGACAAAGATCTGAAATTTCAAATACTGTGGACTATATTGACTCTGCGACCATTAATGTATTTTAGACCGTGAAAGTATTGAATGAAGATCCTACTCCTACTTTGTCTGTTGATGTTTATTACTCCCTTCATACACGTTATAAAAAAGAGAGAGGTGTCCTACATTGTTGCATTTCTTTTCTATATTCTTGGCTCATTTCTCACCTTTACAAAGAGGACTATATGGTTAAAGACCTAACAAGGAATGAATGGTCCCAAAAGTTGAGGGCTCTCGGTGCTAATTCAATTTTGTGGTATGCTAGGAAGTTGAATATATGAGAGATTGTCTACAATTATGGAGAATTTTCAAATGTTCCTCTGATTGGAACGAGAGGATGTATCAACTATAACCCCACTCTGGCTTTATGTCAATTTGGGTACCCTTTGGAAGATAAACCTTCCGACGAGCAACTTCAACAATTGGTTCTTTTTTATATGGGCAAAAACGACCCTGAGTTACTTGCAAAGATCGTCCAAGCTTGGAGTAGAGTTCACAAAAAAGGTGCTGAATTTGGAAGGAATAATGTGGTGGCAAGGGAATCCTACACTCAATAGGTTTTGGAAAGGGTCTGAATCAACAAACTACTATTTGATATTGATCCTACATACACACCAGATGTTCCGGATCCTCTTCTGATGTTAGTAGAGGAAATAAAGGAACTAAAAGAACTAAAAGATGCCCTCGAGCAAGCTCAAAGAGAAAAGGAGGATTTGGAGCATAACCTTTATGACCTTGCTTATGAGAAGAACCAATTGCAATAAGAGCGTGAGCTGAAAGATCAATATATTAAAAAATACCGTGAATTGAATGAAAAGGAGAGGCTTAAGCGAAAATGTTCGATTTAAAGGTTGTTGAGTGTTACTTTCAATCTTGATTTCCACAATCAACGTTTGGATGATGCTACTAGAGAAATTGCAAGAATAAAAAGATGGTATGATAAAACACTGTAAGACAAGAGCGAGATGTAGGAGGTTCTGAAAGCCTAAATCCAAGGGTTAGCGGAAGGTGCTCAAGACCTAGGGGAGCAAGTCCAAAACCTTACTACACATCTCCAAGAAAGTCAAGAGTCAGAGATAGGGGAACGCCTTATGAGGATGAGAGCAGAAAGACTTATATCTCAAAAGGTGGAAGAATATGAACAAGTATGTCAAGAGCTAGAAGGCCTCCGAAAGGATTTCCTTATACAAAGGGAACTCTACAAGGAGATGAGGGATGAAAAGAGATATTAGGAAGAGCAATATACAAAGATAGCCCAAGCAGGAGAAGCCAACAGGGTCATTATTCTAACACTTTACAAGGAGTATTTGAGGTATAAAGACAAGCATGCAAATCTCACGTAGAAAACAATCTCATTGGTGACATTCCTAGAAGCTTAAGAGATGCAGAAGCCGTGATGGTCCCTTTTCTGAAGGACGTTGTAGACTTACTTAAGCTTTGTAGGGAGATGGTTGATGGTTTTAGGGCAAAAATCTGCAAGCGTGCTTAGGAGATTTAGTTTCCCTTTTGTTGTTTCTTTCAGTATTTGACATTTGTTTTGATTCACTATTTCCATTCAGCATTTCCTTTCAGTATATTCTTTCGTATGAATTGTATTTCTCCTTTCAAGGATTATGGTTTTTATTTCAATTAAAAGTACTTTGTTTCGGTATTTTATTTGTGTATATTTTTTGGGATGCTCACAAACAAAAAAGTAAAACCTGAAAAAATAATAATAATAAAAAAGGGAAATCCAAAGTGAATAAGACATTTAAGTAAATTATTAGCATATTCATATTCATTCATCCAACCACGAACATCACATTTTTCATTTCATATAAAAATTATTTTTTCATGTTATCTCCAGTTAAATCATTGGGAAAATTACACTACCTTCCCGACCTCCATATCAAATAAGAGCTCATTAGAAGAAAATTATGGAACAACTTGAGCAAAATCAAGCCGTCTTCTAAGAAGATTTGGAACAAGTGATATGAAACATCGGCTTAATGAAAGGAGACATGAGTCAAGTCATGCTCTCCTTGAAGAACATCATAGCAAAACAAGACGAGATTCCTAAGGTAGACTTTGAAGAAGTAGCCCAAACCATTGGTGTATCGAGCGGTCACCAAACAAGACATGAACCTGAATCAGGTCTTTTGAAGTTAACCGTTGCTCAACAAGAGACCAACCAGGATAATACTGAAGGCTTTGTTACATCTCCTCCGAAGGTGGGGGCATCCCATACTTTGCAGATCCCAGTCAACAATCCATCCAACATGAATAATTACATAGACCTGCAATATGGGGACCATGCCTTAGAAGGCATCACTCAAGTGCCTTAAAAGATAGCCCACACTAATGCTGTTGAAGATCCTATGGTCGTCAAACAGTTTAAATCCCTTGAAGAAATACTGAAGGTTGTGGGGGATTATGACGCTTTCAACGTCGATGCTCTTGAAATGGGTCTAGTTCCAGATATAATAATTCCTCCAAAATTTAAAGTACCAGACTTTGCAAAACATAAGGGACTCACATTCCCAAGGAACCATTTACGCATGTACTGTAGGAAAATACATGCCTATGCTCATGATCAGAAGGTAATGATCCATTGTTTTCAAGACAACTTGAGTGAGGCATCTCTAGATTGGTATATGCAGTTGGAGTGAACCCATATCCGAACATGGGCAGACCTTGCTAACGCCTTCTTAATACAATAAAAGTATAACTTAGACATGACTGCTAACCGCATGCAACTTCAAACTTTATCTCAAAAGAAAGATGAGTCCTTCAAAGAGTATGCTCAACGGTGGAGAGAAATGGCAGCCCGCGTACAACCACCACTCCCCGAAAGGGAATTGGTAGACATGTTCATGAGTACTCTACAAGGTCTATACTATGAGAAGATGGTAGGCAATGTCTCCTTAGGTTTCATGACTTGGTGATAATTGGCGAAAAAATTTAAGTTGATTTGAAAAGAGGTAAAATATAAGAGGCATCATCCAATACTCCTTACAACCTAAAGAAGCATGTTCCTAACATCTCGAAAAAGAAGGAAGGAGAAACTAATGTTGTCGCAACACATCCAAGGGCACAACAACAATTGGTGATCCCACGAGAACAACAACAAAATAGGTTCGAAAGACCTC